TTTATAAAATTGACAAAAGATTTGCAATTTCGGACTGCAGACTAGGCAAGTTAACCGCATTTATACTTTGGCCTCTGTTATTTTTAAAATTTTGGTTTATATTATTTTAGTGGGAAAATATTGTGCTGGACTTAATTAAGATGTCATTCGAAGGCCATCAAAAGGTCATGTATCTGCCTTTTCTTTCAATGTGTAAGTCAGACACACACATTCATACATTCAAATGCGAATGACAATAATGCTCATGTTGTCGTTGATGAGGCAAAAGAAGAAACTTTGAAGGAGGAGGGGAGGAGCTGTGATCTCTGCTCATCACGCACGACTTGAATCATATTTTTATGGTTTTTTATTGACACATTTTGATATGCCAGTTAACAACAATTCACTCATTTGGCTTGGACTTCATCGTTTCTAGTTAGTTTGTTGTCATGCCAACTTACTTTTTAGTAGTTTCACAAGTCTCTTTTTATGTAGCGTAACGAATTATGTATATTCAGCTAAAAACTTTGGGTATTAAGTAAAAAAATGTATCACATGTAAGCACATAAATTCCTTTGTGAGGCGATTTCCAAGAAAACAAGCATATTTGGACGTCCTCAAACGACGTAGGTGGCCTAACAATAGGCGTTGAGCATAAAAACTTGGCTTAATGCTCAAATTAAGTTATGACCAGGAATAAAAAGTTGCTATAGAAACTCTGCTGCTAAAGGATTCATGAAATCATATATATAATCCTCCTTGAAAAGTAAACTCATAATTAACATATTACGAAAACAAACAAGCTACTAAAATGGACAACTGCCCTGGAATTTAATTAATGAATAAATCAGGGCACTCAGACAGCCAAACAAAAATAAATAGTAATTAATACCAAATAATTATGTATTTAAGCGGCAAAATAAATATTTAAGAAAAAACTGAAATGGCGCCACAACACAAATATTATTTCAGACAGCAGAAGGTGGAAATTAATGACCAGAAAAACAGTATTAAATAGCAATTTTAATTTAAACAGCGCAGAAATGTGAAAATGCATTCGTTGCGAACATCTCCAATGGCAGTGAGAAATGCTCAAAGGGATGCGGCACAAGGATGCGAAAGGACGAGGGCCGCCCAAGATGATGACAACGTTATCGGGTGGAAATAATTTTCGAACAAAGTCGTCTACTTGCAAAAGGGGACACAATCGCACTCCCTTTAAATGATTGAAGAATAAAACATATTTTTAAATCAGAGCTGGTTAGGGAAAAAGGGATCTAACCGCTATTAGGCCGAATTGAGCACGGCAAGGCGGAGGCGGCGGAGGCGCGGTGGGAAATCCAAAAAGGTTACAAATAGCCATCATAAAAACTTTATTTGTGCAAAGGATTGAAAACAAGAGTCGACCGAGGGACAAAAAACGACGACGTCCCATGCATGCCAAAGTCGCCATCTCACTTAACTCGATTCTGCACTGAGCGAAAATCGTATATTACTTGTGTAGTTCACAAGGTTGATCTATCAATGCTAAAATTACTTTGAAATATTAATTATTATGGGTTCCCCTTTATAAAACGCACTGTGGAAAGATCCAATGACAATATTAGTGGGACTTACTGCTGCATTTTTCCCGGTGTCGAAACCGATATATTCCCTATAATATGGTCAAACGGGGGTGGGAGGTGGATGGGTGGCGTGGTTGGGGTGGTAAAGGTCGACAAGCGTGTTTATTGTTGTTTATGTGCCATGATGCTTTGCCCACAATTTGCAGTCCTCAAACTCCCCTTTGATTTTCGTTATTCGTTCGCCTCGGTTCGGTTTGGTTTGGTTTGGTTTTCTGTGGGGCTTTTGTGATTGCCTTTGTTTGGCGTTGTTAAAAAACATTTATGCGCCATTATTAAAAGCAATGCGACACCCACACACACGCACACACACACACACATGTTGCTTATTGTTGTTTACAAGGTTATAGCATTTGATTATTGCCGGGATTAAGCTATAATTGCGTATCGCATTTCGGCTATTTGCTTTCATTCCACGTCCGAGAATCGGTTAATGCAGATGGGTGTTTGGTCGTTGGTAGTGCCAAAGATATCGGAATCATTAGCGGCCGCAATATGTTTTGATGATTCCAGCAGGAGCCCTTAAGCCCTGGCGTTTGTCCTGAGCTCCGTATAATGTATTATCTTGATTTAGTGGCCGAAAATGTGCCTTCTTGCAGTGGAAAGCCTCTAAATTTTGGATAGACTCAATCAGGAAACCGCACACACAGTAGCCGAAAAATCCCTCATGTGTGTGTGTGTGTGTGTGCAGAGCAGCTGAAATTGGTTTGAAAATTTCAGGCATATTTGGCAACGGGTCATTAAATACGGAAATTGAGTCAACAAAAGCCAAAGACGGCAGGAAAGGAGCAGGAAGGATATATACAAGCCACTAACACACACGCACTTTACCCCGAAAAGCAAATACAGCGGGGGCCATGCAATTAGTACCGATATCAGAAGTGAATTATTGAATATATTTGCTATCATTTATGAAATGTATTTATAAGGAAAATACCAAAATTCTCTCCATACATAAACATTTTGAAAACTTCTCAATAGGATCGAACTTTTGAATTGGTTCAACGAATATTCTAGAGTTTATCTCAAGACTTTCTGTGTTTTCAAGCCACTTTTATAGCCGATGCTGTACTAGGCACATGTGAGTAGAAGGCTGTATATACACAAACACCCACAAAGAACAACAACTCGGAAGTTTTATTTTTGGCCTGCCTCGGATCGCTGGCAAAGTCAAGCTATATAAAAGATGCCCCGAATCGGTAACTTGTTTTTGTTGGCCCGGCCGCCTGGCTTTTGATTATGTAACTCTCCATTCCAAGGGACCCCAACGAAGCATAACAGATGCAAACCTCACGAATAATTGCCGACAAGATGGAGAAAAGGTCTGCCTTCGATTGGCTGCCAATAGCAGAACAAGGCCAGAACTTCTCGGCCAGAAAGGACACGAATGCGTGTCCATGTGTGGCCAACGAGTGTGTGTGTGCTCCAGTCAGAGGTTAAACTAAGCAATGTGCTGATTGTGGGTCAAGCGTGAAAGAGGTCCAAACGAATCTGCCACTGCTACATTTGAATTGTTAATTCTGTGCAAATGCTGCACTTAGGAAAGTAAACACTTATGGCTAAAATTCAAGGCTGCATAACTTTATATCCATTGTCACGCAATATTCTTCATTTGAGACCACAATTTCTCATTTTATTAAATATGAAACTTCAGTTCGAATTCATAGAAAAGTTGTGCGCTTCACGCTGGACGTGTTCCCAGTGAATTGTTGATATCTTCCGGCTTAGGCAAACAGCTGAACACTTTTGGGGAAGTGGCGCTTCCCAGAATCTGCCGCCATCAACTTCGGGCCAAAACTTCCCTGACAAACAAAGCAGCCTGAACTAGACAGCCAGGCGCACCAATTATGTTGTACAAGCCAATGAGAATAGCAGCAGGTTCCTGCCTAATGCCAACGAATTACTCACCCACCCACCGAGCTGAGTGGGAGTTATAATTGAAATAATTTCTGGTTATTTAGAACAATCAGCACAGCAGGTGGGTGGCAACTTTGGCTCGGTTCGGTTCGGTTCGGTTTTTGGGGCATAGTTTATCCAACCTCCTAAAAATCCATACACACTCGTACATGCATATCCACATTCTCGTTGCGCCCGCTGCGACTAAACAATTGCTCATTATCTGGGGGATAATTTATCTGTCTATGGCGGACTTCTGCTTCTTTCGGTATGAATCGGATTGAATACCTTACCTTGGAACTTATTTGGTCGACTAATTGCTTGGGGTCGGCATCAACATGCCGTGATCAACAAGTTTGGGGCTTCCACCTCCTAAGCTGATTTTATAGAACAAATCATAATCCTTTTGTTTAGCTGTTGGCAAAGGTAGCTCAGTACTGTATGCCGAATAATTGTTTTCCACAAGAATTTCCATTTCAATTAATCCAGTCTAGTTATAAACTAGTGTAGGTAATTCAGTTGCTTTGCGCCGACCCATTAGGTTCATTTAATGCAAACCGCAAACACTGATGCCTGATTGCAATTGAAAGTGGCGTCCAACGTTGGCGGAGAATTGGGCTAATTAGGTGGTCAGGTGGTTGGATGATCACGGCTGCGGGCCCATTGACAGATACACTCCGCGATGTCCTCGTGGCAACAAAGAAACAGCCATGGCAACGATGGAGGAACTGGAGTGGCGAGGTATGCAATAAACATAATTAAAACGCCTTAAATTCACGATACAGAATGCCAAGAAAATTAACTTTTCAGCATTGTTGGCGACAATTTCATGCAAGAACTGCCGCCGCTGCAGATACTTGTGCCCCACGGCACAACAGGCGCAATTAACATATTTTATCAATCTTTTTTCTGGCCTCGCTGCCAGCTCCACTTACGCAATTTAAATAACTCAAGTGGCAAACGGCGCAAAAGAGCAAAGGACACTCGAAGCCACGCAGGACGGAAGGCGGCCAGAGGCCCCAGGAAAGGGGCTTCTCCAGTCCACGGACGTATGGCGAAGTCACCAGCTCCATAAACACATTAACACGTTGCGTATGGGTGGGGCGTTTGCTGGTGGGTGGTTGGGTGGTGGTGGGTGGGTGCCACGTGAGGTGCTGGTGGGTCAAAGTTGGCCAGGCAACATTAAGCTCGCCAAGTATTTTCATTTTTTACATGCAGCGTTGATTCGTGCACTGAGCAAAATGGGAGAATTAAACACTTTCAAGTGTTATCAAGAGTTATAGAAAATAGGCAAGGATATCAGCCAGTTGTCTGGATTTGAAGCTTTTCATCAAATACCTTTACTAGATTACTTTTCAAAGAACACTTCTTGGGTTGCCCCTTTATTATTAATGTGCAACATACATGTATGCTTTATCAAAATAAATTCAAATGTATTCAATTTGCTGGGGCTTTAATTTATCCCGGACGTATTTGTACATTTTTGTACGTGTCGCTAGGTCTGTGAGTCAACTAGCAAGGTCGCCAGGCAGCGGCAACGCACGCACTTGGCGGATGAACAGGATCCGCAGGATGGGCGAGAGGCTGCCACATAAATTACACTTTAATTTTGGAGCATTTTTGGCCACGGCTTATAAATCAACCGAGTTCCAGCAAACGCGACGACGACGACAGCTGGTTGGCCGGGTTCTCCGCCGGATTCTCGCCGGCTCCGGGAGGCTCCTGCTCCTCCGGGCTTTCCCTCCGCCCTCCCCCCGATCCCTTCGCAGCTGAGGGCAGGCCACTCGCAATATTGAAATTTCAATTTAATTACATAGAACGAGGCCCGACCTCAGGCCCATGTGCCCACAAAATGAGCTGTCGTTGTGGTTCAAAAAGAGTCAGCACCACCACCCAAATACACAAATACACCAACAACAAAAGCTGGTGGTGCAGGGTCCTGTTAGATGGGCTCACTTGAACTGAACTGCTCGGCGGTTTGGCTTAATTTGTTGAGATAATTGTGCCGAAATTATATTATTATTAAATTCGCATCCGTTAGTCCTCCTTTTTTTCATGCTTATTATGAAAATTGGATTTCAAGTGCTGTGTGTGTGTGTGTGAGTGGGTGGGTGGGTGATTTCGACCTTAGTCGGGCTCTTCTTTCCGTTACGTAATTGGATTTTGTGTGAGATTTGCCAGAGAAAAAAGCAAGCAAAGGAAACGGAAAAGGCCAAATGTTATTAGCTGGGGGTCAGGGCCGAGTTCAGGAATCAGTTCCTGAAATTTTGACGGCCAGACAGACGAGGGGCAGGGCCAAAAGTACTCCCATTACCCATTGCAATCCTATTTGCGACTCAAGTTCCGCAAAACCATAGAATAACTCAAAAGTTCCGCAGCAGCACTTCAGCTGTCCCTCTTTGGGCCATTTATAAATTTCGCACGCTCGGCGAATCGCGGATTTGATGCTAAATGGGCGTGGCAGCCGCAGCAACAACACAATGCACGCGCTTTGCTTAACTTTTGGGGCGGGGCTTTTAATTAATGCGCGGGCCATCAAAAGTGGAAACAGAAGCCAGAACGGCCAGCGCAAAGACTGGAAGTCAAGTTGCCAGGCAAAATCAGCGGAAATCAACGCAAAAGCCAGAGACGCGAAAAGCAAAAATAAAAGCGTATGAATTTACAAAATATGATTATGAATAAAGGCCATTCATGCAAAAGACTCGGCGGCAGACAGAACCGCAAATGTGGGAAAGTTGCCACATGAAGAGGGTTAAATTAAAGGCGGCTTGTTTGGCCGGCAATCGGGGTAGGGGTTAACCACATGCCGATTATTGGGCGTGCAAAATCAATTTTAAAGCGCATTTAATAAAAGCGCATTTATGCGTTTCTGCGGCAATTAAGTGCTGCAGAGTGCAGCCCACGTTCTGATACTGATGCTGCATGCCCCAATCGGCGCTCGGAAATCGCTGACTTAGCCCTGCTCTTAACCCATTGAACGCAAGTCAAGGGGCAGAAATGCATCGATTGAATAACAGTTTACTCAGATGAGACTGCGGAGAAGTTCTGCAGTGAAAATATTAGTTTACTACAAAAAATTGACAGCATTTAATAAGTGATAGCAATAAATTGGAGTATTTTCTGTTATTTATTGTTATATCTTACTGTAATTTATTCTTATTTATTGGTTCCTCGTTTTTTCAATTAATTAAATGACTTTTTTACAACTTTGCTGAACTAAAGTAGCTTTTTCCCGACAAAATGCGTTATATTCACTTTGATATAAAACTAGGGAAGGCATTTTAAAGTGTGCTATCTGGAGTATTGAGCTGCTGGTTCAAGCCAAAGGTAATGAGCGGTTTACAGCACGTACATGTCCCAGTTTCCTGCTCAATTTTATTGGTGCTCGATGGGTTAACGCAGCGGTCGCAGTAATTAAGCTGATGTGAAAATCTTTGACTTGGCGCGAAGGCAGCGAGCCGGCAATTAAATGCTGCACCCGCGGGCAACAGGAAGAGCCGCGGACTTAATGCGGCAGCACCGGCGATGACATCGCACCACCGCTGCAGCACGGATATGTGGCACCTCCAAAGCACCACCCTCGGGATCAATGTCATCGACTGCTGCATCGACAGATTTATGACAATCCGAGGGACTTTGCCCGGCCCATCTGGGTCTCATGCTCACCTGACAGCTGATGGCCCGTTGGAGCAGCGAAACTTTGAAATCAACATTTCAATTTGTTGGCGGCTGACGCTCTGGCAATTTGGTGTGAAAAACTTGTAGCTATTTTTAAGTCATCAGCAGAGGCAGAAGCAGCAGAAGCAGCAGTAACAGGAGCTGCAACAACTGGAGTTCCCCGGCAACTTTTATTGCCCATGTGCTGGGCATGTCTTCGTGCCAATTGCGTCATGGCAGCGAAATGTGTCAAGTGAGCGGTGACTGATGTGGCGAGTAGCAGGAGTACTCGCACACTGAGCGAAATAGCACGGTGCTCTATCATTGAAGGTGTTTCAAACTTAAATACTCAGCATTTTGACAGTTTGTTTTGTACCAAATATACAGTTCTCTGGAAACGAATTCAAATTCGCGCACAATTAATGTCAAGTATGGCTTACGATTGAATTTATTAATATCGACGATGGTGAAAGAGGATTAAAACTAGCCACACCTGTCACCAAAAACAAAGCCTGCGACCCAGGAAACTAAATCTTATTACCCACCATTCGGGCTTATTTTCAACACAGTTAATTGTATTAAATTCGATTTCAATTGAGCTGCTAAAGTTAAGATAAAAGAGGATTTGGTATCAATGGCATTGCGAGTAGTAAAATGTAGCTACCCTTACGCCATGTCAAATGCAATCGGATTTGTATCTGAAAAAATTTCGTATTTAAGGGCCACTTTTTTCAGTGTTCCCCCTTTCCCGAGTTGTGTTGCATGCGAGAAGCGTGCATAAAAATGTTCCATTCAAGCACTGGAATTAAAAGTAACGAGAGCCGCGCTGCCAGGAATGAAAATGTAAAGGAGCCAGGAGTCAGTACTCCAAATGGCGTTGGCTTTATTCCGGCAATTGTCTGAGACAGTGAGACAGTAACGCCGCACAGACACACGCGGATATATGTTTTGTAGGGTGGTGTACTTATAGCCAACTCTTGAGCCGCTGTCATTGTCAATGTCTCCAGACAAATGCGCCCGAGATGCCTGAAATGGCGTAACAAGCGGGTGGTGGGTTTGGGTGCCCAGGCCATCCAGTCCCATGCCCTTCCAAAAAATGGGGAACAATAATTTCCGTGGAAAGTGGGCTGGTGGGCTGGTGGGCTGGCTGGCTTTTCCCACGCAAATTCGCTGCACGCGCAATGCTAATCTGCTTTTAATTAAAACCAGCTCGCAAAGGCAAATGTCTAAGAGGCTTCCTGCCTTCAGTTAGCTAATTGTCTTTTGTCATTTGTCTTTTTGGCCAAAATATGCCGGCGACAGGCGACAGTCAGAGTCACAGCTACAGTTACATATGTGGCAATTCACTCGTCCCAAACGACAATTACAATACAAATGTTCCTCGTCCTGACAGCGACTGTTTTGGTTTGGGCAGCAGAGGTTGAACTCAATCAGTGTATCAGGGCTAATTAAAATGAATAGACTTAAATACAGTGACAAAGGAAACCAGGAATTTAGGTGGGGGAAGGCAAATCCGCTCATTCCTGGTTGCTTCCATTCTTCCTTTTTTCAAGTACACATTTATTGTTTCAGGAACGAAAGTGTATGTTTTGGTTACACAAAGTTACAAGTGTCATATGTTTTATAAATTAAAATCCGTAAAAACTCTGGAATGCACGAAAAGCGCATATTTAATAAAATTTCCTAAATTATAAATGCAATGTATTGGTAATAGATTTGTACCTGGGGTCATACTTTTCATATATTTCTTTTTAAATATAAGTATATAAAATACCTGTATGTATGAAAAAGAGATTCAGATACAAGTTCGCTATGAAATATTGTTATTAAATGCAAAAGGTGGCAAAAGGTATAGGCGGAGACCACAAATGCTTCTCTCGACTTTTAACCTTTTAATAGTTAATAATAAATAATTTGTAAATCACCTTCCTGTCCGTACTGTTTGGCAATAAAGATAAATGGCAAAATATTAGGCAAAATCAATCAAACTGTAAAATCAGTTAGGCACAAAAAAGACAAAAGCAGCAGAGGCATATAAAATATGTCAAACACAATTAATTATAAAATTCATAAAACAAAGCCACGGCATAAAAACAACAATGGTGGCCATAAAAGCGTCAGAGAGGGGAAAATGCATGAAAAATGCGACAGACAAAATTATCATTCATAATAATTTGTACAAACACAGAGGGACGGACGAGCTGGGAAAAGTGGGGAAAAGGAAAATGTTTGCAACTGTAGCCTAGGTAAACAAAGGAACTGGGGGAAAACGATGGGGCAATAGAATGTTTCACGCCGAGCCAACAATTACAAAAAATGATGTTTTATTTAAAATACCAGACAGTGGCTTCGAGGGGTTGGGAGGGGGGAGTTGGTGGAAACAGACGGGAATAAAAATAACAATGCAACAGCAGTGATAATGTTGCCGGCAACACATGTTTACAGCAGCCAGAAAGAACCGCACACACAACAACAACGGCTGGCAGCAGACTCAAAATCATCCCGCTCCCTTCCCCTCCCCCCACAAAATGTCAGACGCCTGTGCACACATTTTAATCAATAAACAAACGTGAAAATATGACAAACAAATTAATAAAATGCAGCTACGCCGGCCCAGACAATGACAAAATATTATAAATGAATCGGAGGGCACTTCGGTGTGAGTGGGAGGGGGGAAAGCGGGGGAAAGTGCCGTGGAAAATCGGGGGAAAATCGGGGGAAAGCGGTCTATATATAGCGCCGCAGCACCCATCCCTTTCCCACCCGCCTCTCGACTAATTGTGACAATTCGGTCTCACACAAATGGCATAATAAATGTTGAGAGGAAATGATGTGTGAAGTGCAGGCCTCTATCCCCTTAACCCACCGCTGGGCTTAACCCACTACTTCCCCTGCCCCATCCCGCGCCCCTACCCCGCCCACCAATCAATGTCCAAGCGGAAGTGATTTTTGGTTTCAGCGCACGACTTTCCGTCGGCTGGAAATGCATGGAACAATGCTGATGCTGCCCCAGCAATTAGCCAAACTTTGCATACACTGAGAGAGCAGCATGGCAGTTACTGCAGAACAGAAAAGAACTAAGAAACATAGTAGCCAAACAAACCTGTTACGCTTTTACGGATTAGCACAACATTTACCATTTTATAGGGCTCCGAAATCAAGTTACTATTTAAAAAATATGTTAGTTAATTCCAGTTTAGGCGAGTAATACAATCACTGCATACTCTGCCAATTGAAGAAAATGTTAGTTGTATGGCTTAGATAATCATAAATGAACTTAAGTTTAGATCCAGCAAGGCAATGGAAATTCCAGATAGGAGCACATTTCTCTAGGTGCGAATAGGAACAGCCGCCCTTCTTT